AGCTCTCCAGACACTCACTTTTCGTCCTCTCAACTTCGCAAACAACACTCGTGGTACGAGACGGCAGTGAGTAGGACTTCCTTGTTAGTGGTTGTATGTTCGTGGCCATATGAGAGCGTTTGGATAGGGAGAGTGGACTCTCCCCAATCTCAGCCGTACCAGGGTATTTGGCGGCAACTGAACTGAACATATTTCTGGAAAGTACTTAAATGAATGGTACCTATGTATTTGTATTAATTGAGATAAGTCTTATGAAAGTTGAATCTAACATCCGTATCGCCTCATATGTGTCCTCGATCCGATTACTTATGATTGTTAAATGGGAACTGTTGTAATTCTTATGACACGAAGTATGAACAAAAGACTGATACAAATGTGGATCTATCGACTCTCTATGATGTCCATAATGGTCGTCATCAGACAAAAATACCCTCATTTATATTCTGGTTTATACACACCTTATTATCATCACATAAAATGTAGGATACATAGAATTACTGAAAGACACCCACATTGATAGCGCTATCCCCGTCATACTGAACGAAGTTTATACTGACCTACAACAATATCATCTTTTTATCCCATCGATGTTAGTATTTTCAGTAGTATGTTTTAAACGTAACTGATTTACGTAATAAAGAGTTACTTAGACTAAGTTACTTGAAACAACTAATCAAGTTTTATAAATTTCAATCATGTAACAGAAAGGTAGCAGTTAGTAATAGGTCGATGGATTAAATCCAATTCAGAATATTGGTTAGTATCCCATTAACGATCTTTCATGCATAGTTTGACAGAGTGAATAAATCAATACTTGATTACATTAAGGTATTGATTCATATGGACAATACACAATACAAACAACTTAATCAACCATAATGATTACTTACTTAAACTTGGCCTGTTATCCCCAAATGGAGCATAGGCCGCTGATCAGTATTCTTCAACCTACTCTGTCCTAGGCCTTCCTTTCTAATTCTATACAATTCTTGTTCATTTTTCTCATATCTGTCTCCGTTGCTCGGTGTAATGTGTTCTTAAGTCTTCTTTTTCTCCTTTCGCCATGAGGATTCCAAGTGATAAGGGCTTGCCTTGTGACAGTTTGGTACTTTCCTCAATGTGTGTTCTATCCATTTCCAGCACTTCTTCCTGATTTCTTCCTCCTCTGCAATCTGGTTTGTTCTCCCTCATAGTAGGTTGTTAGTGATAGTATCTGGTCAACGGATTTGAAGTATTTTATGTGAAAGCATCCCAGATATCAAGTTACTGATATACCAATGATTAGGAAGAAATTAAATATCAGATTATTCATTGGTATCATGTGATTTTCATTCAACTATATTTTCTTTTGTAATAATACACTACAATTTTCATTGTATTCTGTTATATCTCAATGAGGATAATGAATGGTAACTGTTTGGATCTATTTCTGGACTAACACTATCCACATATTTGTATTGTATAGTTACTAAGTAGCTAAACTATGCATATTCATGTTTCTCTTATTATTATAATTTTCAATTTGACCCACAGGTGATTATTATACGACTTACCATTCTTGAGTTATGAGCAGTCTATTCATTACAGTTTCCCAAATTCACAGTCATTTTTGGCTAAATCTTGTATTATTGTTGTTTTCTATTTTATGGTAAGATGTGGCCTGTTTGGTTTATATATAAACCCAGTATGTTTGAAATACATGATTCATATGGTAGAGGCTGAGATTGGTGTTCTTGACTTAACAAGCAGCAGTGTTAGACAGGGAGAAGGACGGATAAGTACTCTACACTGCTTGTACGGGTTCTATGCGTCGTTGGTCCGGTCGATAAATCACTGCTCTCTAATTGGTGGTGTCACTCCGTTATACATTAATAGGACACAAGGCACAAGTTATAACAGTTTCAAGCATTATAAGATTTACTTCCACAATAAACTACGACGGAGAATTACTGAGAAAAGATCAAAGAAGCACTAACTTGGAAGTGCTAGGAGGTTCTGGGTTACAAGAAGCATCATCATAAGGAGTGGATCTCTATAGAAACACTGAACAAGACCAAAGAAAGGAAGAACAAGAAGACAAAAATTAACAACAGGCGAACAAGAGCAGAGAAAGTCCAAGCACAAGCTGAATACACTGAAGCAAACAAGCAAGTGAAGAAGAGCATTAGAGCCCGGCAAGTAGAAATACGTGGAAGAACTAGCGACGACGGCCGAAAAAGCTGCAAGGGAAGGAAATATGAAACAACTATATGATACAACGAAGAAAATAGCAGGGAAATATAGTAAACCAGAGAGACTGGTCAAGGACAAAGAAGGCAAGACAATCACCAAGATTCATGAACAGAGGAACAGGTTGGTAGAATACTTTGAGGAACTCTTGAATATACCATCTACAATGAATCCACCGGACATCGAAGCAGCACACACAGATCTTCCTATAGATGTCACTCCACCAACGACGGAAGAAATCGGAATGGCCGTCAGACAAATCAAGAGTGGGAAAGCAACACGACCTGACAATATACCAACTGAAGCTCTGAAGTCAGACATAGAAGCAACTGCAAGCATGCTCCACGTTCTATTCAGGAAGATTTGGGAAGAAGAATAAGTGCCACAGACAGACTGGAAAGGACACCTGATCAAAATTCCAAAGAAGGGAGACCTGAGCTGCCGAGGCATCATACTACTGTCAGTACCAGGAAATGTTTTCAACAGTGTTGCTGAACCCGATGAAAGACTCAGTAGACGCCCAACTTCGAGATCAACAGGCTGGATTCTGTAGGGACCGGTCATGCACAGACTAAATCGCGATACTACAGATCATCGTCGAACAATTTATTTTTTATATATTTTAACACATGGATATCGAACAATTAGTTGAGTGGAACTCGTCACAATACATCAACTTCATTGATCATGACAAGGCGTTTGACAGTGTGGATAGGAGAACATTATGGAAACTTCCTCGACACTATAGAGTGAGCAACTGAGAAGATCGTCAACATCATCGGTGATTCATACGACCGATTACAGTGCAAAGTCGTGCATGGAGGACAGTTGACATGCATTCCAAGTGAGGAACGGAGTCAGACAAAGCTGATAACTTTGCTCATTTCTCTTTCTTCCACTTGTCGACTGGATTATGAAGACCACGTCTGACGGGAATCATGGAATACAATGGACAGGTTGTATGCAACCAGGCGATTTAGGCTTTGCAAATGACCTAGCTTTTCTATTCCATACATATGAACAAATGCAGGTGAAGACAGCCAGTGTAAATGGCGGTAGATAAAGCACACATTGTAGAAATCACCAAAATGTGACATGAGGCAAATTCCAACTTGTAATCCCAAAGGGAAAATAAAAAAATGTAAGATTAAAGAGAACATTTTGTCGGGAATTGAAAGCAGACATCAAAAGAATAAATAACTTCTAGAAACAACTGTAAAGGATTGCCCAGGACAGAGTTGTTCAGAGAATGCTGATGGGCGGCCTGTGCTTTTTCACTGGAGGTAATAGACATAAGTAAGTATTGTAGACTAATCTTGTATTTTCATTTTCGTGATTTCAGGTACTACTCTTTATGTTTAAACTGCAGCTTTTTATGATTTTAGCATTCTGTCTGTACTGTATATTGAATTTGCAATGCTTTGAACTATCTTATAATTGATTGACATACGTGCATCCTGTGTGGAATGCTCCACTATACTCATTGTAACACAAGTTCATGTAAAATAACTAGAATCTAATTAGCACTAGAATCTAAGATATACATTCTGTCCTATTTGAGACTCGTCAGCTGAATATACCTGCATCTCCAAGTTGATGTCTACTCTGAGATATCCAGGCAATCCTCAGTTAAAATACTAATAACAAAAATAATCCAAAGTGTTACAAATCAAATTTAGAATTCATACCCGTTACATATATGAGTGAATACTCAAACACAATGGCTAAATACATGACTTGTTAGATGTTGTAGGTTGTTATAACGCTCGGTTTCATCTTGTCTACACAAATGGAACGTTAATTTACTTAAGACGAATATCTACACTAGATTCCCTCCCAGTGTCTGTTATTCTACAGGACTTCAACACAATTCAGATGATCAAGAACACGTGTTTAGCCTGACCCCAACGTAAATATATTTCCACACCAAAAACCTGACACAATCCAACATCAATGAACAATCAATCAATAATAATTAATAATAAGGATAGGGGAATATATAAATCATCTAACACCTATAAGACTATCTACATGTCTGACTAAGCAAACAATCAGTCAGTAATATTTTAAAGATTTCCATTATCATGCGTCCGAATGCCCTGACACGGCCGAGAGTGGAGAGAGTCAGATGCCTCTCAAGTGGCTACACGCATATAACCACTGACAGGGATGTCCTACTCACTGCTTTCTCAAAAAGGGGATGTTTACAAAATTGAGAGGACGAAAAGCAAATGTCCGAGTTGGTGAACACGGACAGTCCACCTAATGGAGTTGGAAAAACCTAATTCTAAACCAGTAGTACATATGGGCTTCAGGATCCTGATAGAACAAATGGCGTATGAATCAATTGTTGATCACCAGATACCATGAGTTTGCATCTTTTTTTTACGTTTTTCCCCTACCTTGTGGATTAGACCTTTATATCAAAGAATTCGGGTGTGGTTCTCTAAGAAAAATCATCGGCTTCAATTTGGGCACTCACACAGTATCTCAGCCCTTATATAAATCGAATGATTTATATGGCATATATCTATTTGATGCCTCCTTCTATCAATATTTATGTATTCAAATAAATAAATAAAACTATTTCCATAAAAAAATGTATCGATTAATCATTGAAAAATCAATCAATCAATTAACCCAATCAATCAAATTGAATTCCATCTTCTTTCAAGTATCATATATATATATATTACTTATTTACCTACTTATTTACTTAGGCTCACTACTCATATCTGACATTATTTATTCATTACCCTTAAATGATGATTATGTCATCATTAATCATTTTATTCTTATTTATTGATTTTATTGATTTAATACAATTGAATTCAATCAATATAACAATGAATAATTTAATCAATATTTTATTATTACTTAGAAACAATGATTTATATATGTTACCATATAATCATTCATTATTATTTTATCCATATAATGGACCATTTTATAAACCATTATGGAAATTATCTAAACCATATTATTATTTTTCACAATATGGTTTACCTAATCCATTTTATCAATCATTATCATCTAAAATTAATATGAAATTTATCAAAAATGATATATTGATTATTAAAGTAAGTAATTATCTAAATAAATAGTTGCTATGGTGATTAAAAAAAAGGCATCAACTTCATAACTTCTGAAAGAATTCAACTTTCATCATGATATATTATAACTCTTAGGAAACCTAGAAGTACTGGGCGACTGCCTTGTCTTAGTATAGGATTCTTCAGTAGTGTGTATCTATGATCTCTCATCAAAAGGATTCGAACCCAGGATCTTGTTCATTTATGATTGGAGTCTAAAAGAAGCTCCTCTAAAACTAGTCGTTGTTGTCCAACCTGAGTCAAATGTGTTTCATTGATTCTAAGCATCTCCAGGTTTTATCTCTTCATTTCTGGAGCAATTCGAAAAACTCTCCCGGTTGCCCAGCATTCCATTTACCGAAATTAATGGTTGCTCTGATTGTTAGAAGGAGCATCAACTTCGTGACTTACGAAGGAACTCGGCTTTCATCATGAGACGTCATAATCCTTCTAAATGAAAACCTTCTAACTCCTAGGGCAGAGTTTAAATGGTCTGAATTATTTTTTCTGGTTAGAGTTTTTTTCCAGAGAATTAGTATTCTACGGGATGGGGCCGCTAACGTCGTATCCAACCCTCGTCCTTTATCCGGGCTTGGGACCGGCAGTAGCCTCAGAGGGGCTCCAGGCGGAGTTAATTTTATATTACATTTATAGAAAATGAAATATTTATCATCAAAAGAAAGGAAGGTCCAGGACAGAGTGGGTTGGAGAATGCTGGTGGGCAGCCTACGCTCCATTGAGAGTAATAGGCGTAAGTAAGCATTTCAAGTTGAATTTATTAACTGATTAAAGCTAGATTATCAATAGATGACTGTTTTGTCCTAGTATTGAACTCTTTAACAATGTGTATCCAAGATCCTACATCAAAAGGACTCGAACCCAGGACCTTGTTTATTCTATCAAATGAATTGAGATTTTTTAAAAAAAGTTATGAATTGATGTTAATTAGGAGTTGAATTTAAACTTATGAAGTAGTGTACAACTGTTGTTTTAAAATTTAACTAATTTTCATATATACTGAATTCGATTAAATAAATTACAAGTCTCAATAAGCAAAGATGGATAATGGTGGCTAGCAGTGAAATCCAGGTCGTGCGTTTCATCCTATTTGGAACTCCTCAGTTCAATGTATTTGCATCACAGAGTTAATATTGACTCTAGGACTCGAACTCAGTATTGTTCACTTCAAATGCCAACGCGTTATTCACTTGGCTACATAGTCCTGATAGCCACTTGCTTGTGCAATAGGGTGGAGTTTAATTGACTTGATGTTGTTTACTCGTATCTATCCACTGTTTATTAGGACTGCAATTAATCAGTCTCTTGTTGGCATATGTGCATCCTGTGAGGATTGTCCCAATATAGCCTTGATTCACAAGCTTTATAGGTAAAGATGACTAGTGGCTAGTAGTGGATTCCAGGACGCGTGTTTCGTTCTATTTAGGACTCATCAGCTGGATGTGCAAGTAAACAATACCAAGTGAATTACATGTCCCAAAGTTAGTAATTTGTTATTCAGTCCCAATGTAGGGAAACACTTACATTATTAGCTAAAATAACCAATGTAAACCTAAGAGTAATCGACAGTTGTAGTTGGCTTTCGACAACTACGTCATAAACGGTGTAGGCGATTTATCTGTTTATGACTGTGAAATATGGATCGGAAGATATTCATAGATTGTTAGTATTTGATCATTGATTCGGTTGTAGTATTGCTCAAGTATATTGAGACCATCAAGTGAAAAATGTTTTAATTAAAATCAGGGTATCAGGTAAAGATGGTAAATCTGTTGAATAAGATATTGAATGCTTGTTAACTGAAGCGGTTACGATATGTATTACGTAAATTGATCCAACGACTGCCTCGAAGGCTATAGTTGTCTGTTGTTGAAGTAATTTAACAGAAATCTAGTGTATAACAAAGCAAGACGTCACCTTATTCCATGAAATTATTCACTGTTGTTCTTAACCATGTGGTTATGTGCAAACTACTTGGTTGAAGTCTGCATGATTATCACAACAAGTAGTTAGAAACATCGAGTTGGATACAAATGCGATAGGCTATATGTTGATTATGGCTGGTGCATGAATAGATTACAGTATTCACAGTTCAGTAGGAGTAATCAGGATATGACAGATTTCATCAAAGTCAAGTTGAGTAAGAGTAGTAGACGTAGATATAATTGGAAATCACCCGTTTTATTGATTTGATATGTTAATTTTAGATCTTGTCTGTTTTCCTAGATCAATGCGTATTTATGCCAGATCATATATTATGATTTACCAACACATGTATACTGCATCTTAATGATGGAGATTTGTCCTCTGATCTGGACGGTTTGGTCCAGTAGCTTTCATCGCCCTTCAGATAGAAGTGAAGTGTTCGAATTTCTCTACACATATGGTTCACAAATTGTCCTATACACCTTGATGTTGATTAAAATCATTCCAATTTATTAATCAATCAGCAAAATTATGGACAAATATAGAAACCAAGAATCAAACCAATGGGAGATACAACCAAAACAAAGAAATAAACAATGACAAGTTTAAGGTCAACAAGAACGACAGTCAACATCGAGATCTACAAGACAATTTATGAACCACATGTGTGGAGAAATTCAAACACTTCACTTCTACTTGAAGTTTGTACTGATGATATCATTCAGAAGAACGATGAAAGCTCCACGATCAAATAATCCAACTCAAAGAACAAAACTCTAGCTACACATCTCATTTCACTTATCCTTCTTCTTCTTCTTTCTATCACAAGGAATCAACTCATAATTTAACAAGAAAATATATTTTAATAGAAAATTTCACATTATTTGATTTATATTCTAATTTATTATCAAAATTTGCTACTGACACTGAACACTATAAAAAGGAAATATTTACAATGGATGATATTACTGATAACAATGATAAAAGTAGTATAAGTAGTAATAATAATGATAACATGATGAATTCTATGAATATTAAACCTTCAATGATGAACAATTATGATAATATTCAAATGGATACTGAGAAAATGACGTATACACATGATGATGAGGATGAGGATGATCAAGACGATCAGAAGAATAGAATAACGAATGTTATTTTAGGTGAACGACTTCAACCAAGAATGTTTCTTCCTTTATTTATTGATATTTATAGAATATTTAAATCTATTAAAGTAAAATGTGGAAAAAGTAAGTTAAAAAGTACAACTTTAAATAGGTTGCTTGTTTATTTGTGGGTATAAATGATGTAATTTTCTTTCATCTGTAATCATTATAAGGTTAGATATAGATGAAATACTTTATGGTGGTCAGTATTCAATAGAATCCTTAAACTTTGTATACAGTTCGTCCCGATAATCGTCATTACTTAAAACCTCAGTGGTGTATTAATTAGAAGGCGGATACGAAGTGTTGATTAGGTTTATTATTGCACCGCATAGAGATAACCCAAATTTACAAGAACGTTAAGCAAGCATGAAAGAGTAGTGCCGAAAAGTTAGCGGGAAGGCGGGTGAGTGTGCGAGTCGATTGAGCGAGTCAGTGAGCCTATGAACAGGATTAAAATGCACATGTATATATAAATAGGGTAATGAATGAATCATCGAATCAATTAAGCGACTACTAGTAAGGCTAACAGAATGAATATATACATAGGCAGTAAGCAATGCTTCCCAACCAGGTGATCTACACCTACCATCATGACTCAGTTCACTTGTCAGTGACTTCCTGGATTTGTGTCATGTTTTGGTCTGGCTGCCCCTAGCTTTCTTCCGATCTACTCCTACACTATAAAACATTGCTTGTCTAGACAGTCGGTGGTTGGGCATACGTAACACGTGTCCCAGCCATCTCAACTGATGAAGTTTTACTACTTCATCAATTGATTTGTCATCCTTGTCTAGTACCCGTTTCCTAACAACTGCATTACTCACTCGGTGGTCCGAGGATATACGAGCAATGCGTCCTGTACTCTTACCGGCCATGTTTCACTGCCATAAAGTAGGACGGAATGAACTGCTGTGCAGTAAACCCATCTTTTGTTTGGTACACAGATATCTCGCTTACGTCATAAATGACGCAAGTTGTCAAAAGCCAGTTGAACCTTCTGTATCCATGCTGCGATTTCTTCACACACCAGACCATAGACATTAATGCCAAACAAATATTTGGTCACTATAAATGTAATCTGGCTAATGAGATACTAATGGCATAAGATACATTATTTTCAATGATGATTTATCCTGTCATTAATACATCAGATATTCGTGTATTCATAATTCAAATGTTTACTCACATTACCATACTATATAAGGATAATAGAACTAACTTAAATAAGCGTGTTACTCCTCATAGAGGAGCATAAGCCACCCATCAGCATTCTCCAACCAACTCTGTCTTGGATAAGGACTACAGAAGAATAGTATTAAACCACGAACATACCGTGCTTTTAAGCTACTTCCCTAAATACTATTCCCATATTATCTGAAAGAATTGATGTAACACTGAAACAATGGGTAAATCACTGAAACCTCTACTTCTTAAACGTTTTTGCTAGTCAGGAGACAGCGATGATAAATGAATGATTTGTTGTACTGGAAATTCGAATAAGAATATGATCTAATTGTAACGGAAAGAGAACGATGAAAATCCCTCTGCAGCTTCTATGTTGGACAGTAGTGTCATTTATTTGTTCTTTCTCCCTGTTGTTGTATTTTAACCTTTGTTCCAATCTCGGTTAACCTTATCTTTTGTTCTTCAGTCTTCCTTGTTTGAGCCTTTATTATGTGATTTTGATTAAAGACTAATCTTTTGTTGCCTAAGTTATCATTGCATGTTGCCGGACCATTGACAGTAAGCTCGTGTTTAACTAAGCTCAAGGTCACGGCGTGGTTCAGTGTGTGATTGTTAACCTCTTGATTCTCAGGTATCAAACCCTTTAATACTAACTGTCTCTTTCATTGTTTAGCGAGCTACTCTGCGTTAGAGAAACTTCTGACTGTATAGCACGGGCTGTACCGTTTGAGGTATTTTGTATTTTTGATGTAATTTGTTCTGTTTTCTAAATTAGAACCGTTTATATTGAGCACAGAGTTTGTGTTTTGATATAATATAATACGAGTATCTCAAAAACGCGTTGTGAGCTATACAGAGGAACGTGGTCTGGTCTAATGTAATAAATGTTGGGTTCATCAGTCTGTTGTTCCATCCGGATATTGGTCGTTCGGTCGCTGCACTAATGATCTCCATATTATTGCCAGTATTAGTTCATGATGGAAACACTAGCCGTAACATCTAGTCCTCACTCTTAACACTAATTCCAAACCTTATTCTGATATTTGTTCCATGACTTTTCTCGTCTCTCATTTGTCCGTCTGTATGCTTTAGGTTAACCGTTCGATTTTAAGCAGAGTTAGATAACAGCCAGAAGTGGAATAAAGGACTTGAGTTCCATTTTATTTGGGACTTGTCACATGGATTCACCTGTATTTCAGAGTTGACTTTCACTCCGGGATTCAGACCTACTACGTTTCGCTTCAAAAGCCAAAAGTTATCTACTGAACTACTCAGTTCAGATAACAACTGATTGATGCTAAAGAGTGAATTTTAACTAATTGTTTTGGTTGCTTGACCATCAACTGTGGGATGCAGATAAATCCAAATGATGAGTACAATATAGGAAAAAACCAGCATACTAGATTCCATTGTCAACCACTATCCAAATCTCATTAAAGTGCTTATGAACTAACGGTGATATTTAAGCAATCCTCACAGGACCCACAAATGCGGAAAGAGAGATCAATTTCAGCTCTACACATCCATAGGAAGATTCAGATAACCAGTACAAAGGAATTAATTTCTTGATATTTGATTAACTTATTTAACTAGATTTAAAATTCTCCCAGATAGAGTCAAACGAGGATAGGGTACATATCTGTGATCGTTTAGTTCATCCGTTTCTCAATGTTCAATATTTGTGCAATATCAAGCATTTTTATTCATTAATGAGTGAATCCTAGATAGAAGAGCAGAATTTTTACTGGAGACTTCATTTCATCCTCAAGTCAATATTATAATCGTAACAATTTTAATGTAACACCGGTGAGACTCTAATTTATGGACGACCTTTGAATGAATCTTAAGTAACCTTGAGAAACATTAGCCCATCAGCAAACAGTCAGTCTAGAGTAAAAAGATGTTATAAAACACCAAGGAAATAAAGTGGATACATTTCTTATACGTGGTTCAAAAACGTGTCAAGGTTAGAAAGAGGTTGAGAGATTCTAAAATCGTAATGCATGCACTAGAGCAAATCATCCATATGGCTACAGAATAGTCGGCCTCTGGAGACATGATGAACTCTCAAATACTCTTTCAGCCTCGACCACATAGCTTCAACATTGTTTATGTGCACTCCGGTTGTTGAATACACAAAATGCCACTTTTGGATGACGACATGATACATATAACCAAGCCTATGTGGGAGTCTGTATGCTCTCCAAACATCCGTATGTATTTTAGTACCTGGCTTCAACCAGTGTTACCGTTGGTTTTATTATCCAGTACGCAATAATTGTTGTTCAATTAGACGATTTGGACTTCGCAGATGACCTAGCCATCCTATCGCATACACACGAACAGATGCAGACAAAGACAGCCAATGTGGCAGCAGTCTCTGCATCAGTAGGCCTCAGCATACACAAAGGGAAAACCAAGGTACTCAAATTCAAGGCGGAGAACAGCAATCCAATCACTCTTGATGGCGAAACCCTGGAAGAATTAGAATCCTTCACATACCTGGGAAGCATCATTGATGAACAATGAGGTTCAGATGCAGACGTAAAGGCAAGGATTGGCAAAGCAAGGACAGCATTCCTACAGTTAAAGAACATATGGAACTCAAAACAACTTTCAACCAATATCAAAGTGAGAATTTTCGATACGAACGTCAAGGCAGTTCTACTGTATGGAGCTGAAACTTGGAGAACTACAACAACCACAATCAAGAAGGTACAAGTATTTATAAGTAGCTGTCTACGCAAGATACTCAACACCCATTGGCCGGATACCATCAGCAATAGCCTTCTGTGGGAGAGAACAAATCAGCTTCCAGATGAAGAAGAAATTAGGAAAAGATGATGGAAATGGATAGGACATACATTACGCAAATCATCAAACTGCATCACGAGACAAGCCCTAACTTGGAATCCTGAAGGGTAGCGAAAAAGATGAAGGCCAGAGAACACATTGCGTCGGATAATAGAAGCAGATATGAAAAGGATGAATAGGAACTGGAAAGAGCTGCAAAGGATTGCCCAGGACATGGTTGGATGGAGAATGCTGGTGAGCGACATATGCTCCTTCACGAGGAGTAACAGGCGTAACCAACCAACCAACCATAACACCTGAACATACCTCATGTTTGTATATCTGTATCCCTACAGTCAACCTAATAGTTTCCTTACTCCTGACTGGTTCACTTAATGTGAACCTATTCGACGAATCAGAATATGATTTAGAAGAAGATGCTGTGAGGTTATTAAATGATCATTTCCATTTTATGAACATAAATGAAACTTCATTTTAGGGTAATATAAGTAGTTCCAATATGTGTTTTTAACGGTTCTAGATTTTGTTCACTTCATTTCTGTTTTTTGTTTTTTTTCTCTTGTATATCATTTGTTTTTTAGCCTGTAAAGATTATATACCAAATTATGAATATGTTTTATGGATGTATAATTGGGTTATTTGTACAAATTTAGGATCAAAATCTAAAAATGATATTGATGGAATATGCCCTAAAATTTGTCGTCCACGTGAAAATATAATAAAAAATGATTTAATTCAACAAATTATCAATTTAACTTTTAAATCAATTCATATTGTTAATCCATTTGATGTTTGTTCACAATTACTTCATACAATATCTGGTACATGTTTAGTGCATGGAAATGGTGTCTATGTAAATGAATTCTCGTAAGTTTCAAAGATTATCAATATGAGAACATGAAGTATTGAATAATTGTTCAAGTCTTACATACAACTTTGAATGATTATGTACCAACAATCCTGCTAATTATTTAACTTAGGTCTTTCAGGTTTTCCTAGGAAGCAAATTACTGAGTTGGGATCCATTGGTTTACATCCCTGTATACGATCGACTTTCACCATTCACTGTCGTTGTTCATGTTTATCTCACTGCTTGTACGATTAACCTCTACCATTCATGGCTTCCTACTAAAACGTCTAGAATTTTTTCCGAAGCAACCAGTCATTAGTCAGTACATAAATACTATCAAGATGAGGATTTTGTGTGGATTGTTATATTTCAAGATAGTTTACACCACATAGTAACTTTAGAAAAAGATTATTGCCTTTTCCTGATAAACTATTCAAACGTACCGAAGACTAGTACATTAAAACACATTTGGTGAGTTTGTAGCGTGGTTTCGAGTCGCGGTTGACTATGAACACCACTATAAGAAGACTACGTACCAATTAACCGATAAGATCCCCCGTAAGCCAAATATTAGAAGGCAATTGATGGCTGTAGTCGAGATGTATTTATTGGCGATCTCGTGGTATTGAAATAATACCGAGATTGTGCCAAAGGAGTACAGGCGTGGTTGCCGAGCGTAACCGAACCCTTACAAGGTCACAATCGAAGAATAATGGAGCAGTAATATGGCTGTCTTTAGCACAGTAAAGCAATCACTAGTACAATTGTTTGTGATAATGATTTTTCCCATTAAATCAATCGCATTCTCTTGATAAAAGTCGGTCACTATAAGTTTATACTATAGACCAACAAGATGTCGTTAACTTATAGTAAAGCATCAAAGCGAATCTAGATTTGTGCTACACCAAGGACATAACTGATAACAAACACTTTGCTGCTTTAATTCAACAAAGTTGTAAGCCTAACTTTCGGAAAAAGTGTCTGAATTCTTAATTATTTGACAATGCGTGTAGGTTCAGTCATAGAGAGATTGTAGAAACATTTTACTGATGAGTGATCACTAGCATGAAGTCTATGCTCAATACTTTATGTCGATTGCTTTCGACTATATCAAACAATGTGTCTCGTGACAACAACTTACTTAGACAAATGACCACGTTTCATCTTGGTAAACTTAATTCTATCAGACCTTATAAGTTAAACACATCTAAGATATTTTATGATTATGATATACTGATTAACCAGTTAATGTAATTGTATGTTCAATAGTCAATGAACATCGAACCAACCAGTGAAAGATATTGACATTCAGTTAAAGATCGTAATATACTGCTAGATAGCCGTCATGTAAATATACTCAATTACTGTAAATCGCATCAATTCACAGAAACATCCGACGACAATATCCATTCTGATACCAGAAATTACCATTCTTTTCTTTAAGAAAAAGAGAAAGAAAAGAAGCAGTATAAATACAACGATGAGACATCTGCCTAGTGCATCCAGGTATCCCATTGGTGGTCTAACTTTAATTGGCTCATGCCCTCATCTATAAAAACAACTTTATTTACATCTTCAACCAATCAAAAACTAGCATAGTAATTCTTTACGTTGATTGGTTGACTGATGGAATAAACTGTCCAATAGAATTTATACACGCTATGTAATAGCATGAATCAAAATCTACTTCATTTAAAATGTTTACCTTTAATCCTTTTCCTATAAGTAGATCACTTGATAAACTTAAACAAAACAAAAATAATAAGATTTGTAGAATAAAATGGATTTATTCTATTTCATGATTTCTCATTCGGCTGCAAACAACCTAAAATCAACCAGGTCAGTTGTGTTATAGTAACTCACTGAAGACAATGGTGGCAGATGTATCGCTCAACTTTGTGGATTAGTTCAAGTTGGACATTAGCACGATTGGATATCGGCTCAGTGGTCTAGAGTTTAAGCGTTCACGTGCGAGACCGATAGGTCCTAGGTTCGAATCTCCCTAGGCGGGGTCGTGGATGCGCGTTGCTGAGGTGTCCCACAGTAGGACGAAACGGCCTTTCAGTGCTTCCAGGTTTTCCATGGTGCTCTATCTTCAATTAACTCATAATATCAACTAATGAAATTATTAAAATCTCCACAAAACCCCTTCTGATATTAAACATAATTATTAACAAATGTTTAGGATACTTTACGTTGTGAAGTTAAGATAAATGTTCGAACAGTAGCCAAAATCATGATAATGAGAAGAATAGGGATACAAAGTGTATGAACAAACATAGTTAAGATCAATATGTATAACTTATGAATTAAAGACATCTCAACATGTTTTCAGTCAAAGCAATTGAAGAACATATGGAACGCCAAACAACTGTCAATCAATATCAGGGTTAAAATTCTCAATATGAATGTCAGGATTGTTCTACTGTACGAAGCTGAAACTTGGAGAATCACTACAACTATTACCAAGAAGGTACAAGTATCTATAAATAGTTGTCAACGCAAGATACCCAAAGTCCGTTGAACGGATATCATAAGCAACAGCCTACTGTTGGATAGAACAAATCAACTTCCAGCTGATGAGGAAATAAGGAAATTATGTTGGAAGAAGATAGGATATACATTGTGGAAATCACAAAATAAATCACGAGACAAGTCCTAACTTGTGATCCTGAAGGAAAGAGGAAAATAGGAAGGCTAATGAACATATTAAATTGGGAAATAGAAGCAGATATGAAAAGCATGAATAACAACTGGAAGGAGCTGGAAAGGATTGTTCAGGACAGAGTTGGATAGAGACGGTTGATGAGCGGTCTATGCTCTCAGACGAGGGGGTAACCGGCGCAAGTGTTATATCTAGATCTTTAGATTCTTAATATACCGCGTATAACTTGAGCAATCGAACTCTAGAACCCTCCAAGTCGCGAATAAGAATACAGAATAAGAGTGAAGAAAGTTTTTGTTGGGTAGGAATCAAAACGTACGGAAAATCATGGGTATTTATAGATATGTAACGTTTGTTATATCAACATTATAACTCAGCCAATCCTCAGAAGTCATTTTATATCACTGAGTGATAGTAGCATACCAACGTTGACATTCTAAAAAGCTTCATTATGTTCTGATTGTATGAAACTCTTCGGCTCTTTTAGGGGTGAGACTATAATTTACGAACAAACCAATCAGAGATAAGATAACAGGTCTCAGAGTTTGACGCGAAATCTGCTTATCCATTTGGTTAAATAGAATTTTGGTAACATATCCAATTTTTAACCTTAACCATCAACTGTAAATCATAATTGTAATTCCTCATACTGGTTTATGACACTCATTTGGTTCTCGTTATTAGGTGAACAGTCTCACTCAAAGATCGTCTCACCCTTTTAGAGCTTCTGAAGGCTTCGTCGTAGTTCTCGGAAGCCGTCTGAACACTAAGTAAGTATATTTGTAGCCGGATAAGAAATCATGAATTCATGTTATTCTTTAAACCTTATTCAATGTCATCTTTTCATTTGAAATGAATTACTATTATTATTATTATATTATTTCTAAAAGGTGTCAATGTAAATCAAATGCATATCATTGGCAAACTATCAATTCATTAACTGGTTGTTTATTAATACCAGAAATTATAAAAAGTCAATATAAAAATGTATCCATGACAACATGGTTTATTGAATGTATTCATGAAATGTATCGATTTTGTCAATATGGTACAAAAAAATGTTATCAACGTTTACGTTTAATTCAATCTAATCCAAATATTAACAGTGCTAATAGTAATAATAATGAATTAACTTTAATCTCTGATGTTGATATCTCATTATGGCCATATTGTTTATGTTATAAAAATTTTACTGGTATTGATTGTTCTATACCATTTAATCCATGTCAACATCTTATATCGAATGTTTTAATAAAATCACAAGTATTATTACATAATCAATTAATTTATTCACATGATATTGATCGTCCATTAATATCACTTAATGATAATGATAGTCATAATGATTATCTTAAATCTGCTAATGGTAATTGGTTATGTGGTGTTCCATTTGGTTATGGTACATGTCATTCTTCTTCTTCTTCTTCTTCTGGTTAGTTATTATATTGATATGTTTTGTGTTTGAATGTTACTTGTTTTATATCTGGATTGTCACTAATTGTTGATTGTGTCAGAAAATGCTTATGATTATTATTTATACTTGTGAAAATGAAGAATCATTGGAATTCTTATGACACCAAAAATAAGAACACAAAGACTGGTATAAGTGACGATTTATTAACCCTCAAAACATGATGACGACGACAATGGCAACGAGGACGACTCTAGTACACACACTTAGATTAAACATTAGGATGAAACCACATAGATGATAAATACTTAGGGTTATACCAAATCATATGCTGAGCATAGTTGATGTCCATTGAATACAAGAATATCTGATGTTATACAGAATAAAAAGAAGTCATACGGGAAAACAATACTCAATATTGCAGTGAATAATCATTACATTGAATCAAAAATGGAAGTAATGCTGAACCAAAAACTCATAACGAATAAATTAATTGAATTCCGACTTTTATTTCCATCATATCAATTATGATACATATGAAATATCAGATGAATTTTGTGGATATTATAGTAATTTCAATGGTTAAGTTCATGAATCAGTTGAAGCTAGACCACCATGGAAAACCTGGATTAGTTGAAGTTAGACATTAACACCGTTGGATGCCGGTCAGCTCAATGGTTTAGTGGTTAAGTGCTCGCGCGCGACACCAGTAGTTCTTGGGTTCTAATCTCGCAAGGGGCGAGGTCGTGGATGCGCACTGCCAAGGAGTCCCACAATAGGACGGAACGGCAGTTCAGTACTTCCAGGTTTTCCATGGTGGTCTAGCTTCAATTGACTCATGATCTTAACCGATGAAACATATGAAATAATTTAACTTCATTTGCATTAATAATTTATGATGTAATAATGTAATTTGACAATAAGGAAATATAATAATAACTAGTTAATTAGATTCTTTTATTCATTTATACAAGTCTTAAACTTGATAATTCATGGATGACCTTTGAGTGACGACAAAGTGACCGTCCAAGTGTTTATCTATTCACGAGGACTAAATGATGGTTATCAAGCAGTGTCAGTCAGTCAGTCAGTTACAACGTAGGACCAGGTACATATAAACGTCAGTCCGAATCGCCATACCTCATTAGCACAGCAATATCAACACCGGATTCATAGGAGTAGGCAATTCAATGATACTAATATATAAAAGAAAGATTGCATATAAGGATATAGTACAGGAAGAAAGAATTAGTTCATAGAAAGAAAGATATGAAATGATTTTAATCTCATAGTTTAAGGGAAGACATAGAGTGGATACATCGACACCATTGTGATCGATTCTGAGCCATGTCATCAAGAGTCTCCAACCATTGGTTACGATAGTCACGCGGACTCTAATTAAGTAGTCTGCATCTACCAACATGGCTAAGACCACTAGCCAGCATTGCGCGTCGTGGTAATCGGTGTTCAGGTATAAGTAATAGGTGGCCCAACCATCTCAGTCGATGGAGATTTACAATCTCATCAGCTGGTTTCTCATCATCATTCCCTAATACCCTGCATCTAACCTCACTATTACTTACCCGGTGATCCCAATAGATGCTGGCAAGATTTTTAAGACATTAGAATTATGATTAACAATTGATGGTTAAGGTTAGGAATTAGATTTATGGTTTTCATCACGAATTGACATCAGATAAAATGCCGAAACATTATTTAACCAAATGGATAACTGAATTTCACGTCAAAATCCGAGACTTGTTATCTTATACACCTGATTAGTTCGTTCATAAATTATAGTCTCGCCGGTGTTCATTAATTTATATCTGTAGATCTTGTTAAATATCTTCGCTAATCCATTCGTCTCTGCTCTATTCTTTTTGCTTTCTTCGTTCCATCTCACCGATTGCCTCTTCAGATCAACGATTGTATTTGAATTATTTAATTGTGTTATTCACTAACTCGATTTAAGTCGATAATTATATACGAGAACTAATGATATGTCAAAGTCGATAACGTTAATCACATAATCAAATTAGAGTCAGATATATCCTGGGCCACTTAAGGCTATATTGAGGCAATCCTCACAGGATGAACATATGCCAATAAGAGACTGATTAATTTTAGATTTAAACATCAATGGGAAGATTCAAGCAAACAACACCAATTGAATTTAAACTTTACCCCATTGCACAAGCAGGTAGTTATCAGGACTAAGTAGCTGAGCAAATAACGCGATGGCATTCAAAGCGAACGATACTTGGTTCGAGTCCCGGAGTGAATATCAACTCTGGAATACTAGTACATTTAGTTGACGAGTCTCAAATAGGATGATACGCTCGTTAAACTGGATTTCACTACTAGTCACTATCCATCTTTGCTTATCATGTTTATGAACAAAATCAATATCAAGGCAATCGGCACAAGATGTACGTATGTCAATAAAAGACTAATCAATTACAGTCTTAATCATCAATAGGAAGATTCATCATAATCTACTATATTATCCTTGTTGTTGTATTGATTATTAGGCTTACAATATTATTGTCAATGTAATATTGGTTATGAAAAAGATGTAAATTACAGTGATATGGATAATTGTTGGAAACAAATTGAACAAGTAAACAATAATGAAACTATTTATAAATGTAATCAAAATATTTGCTTAAATGATGGACAATGTATTTATGTAACTAAAGGACTTATAACTTATATTGATCAATATAATAATGAGATTATTACCAATAATGATACTAATCATATATATAATCAAGTGCCAATATGTCAATGTCAACCAGGTTATACTGGTTTTTATTGTGAATTAACAGAAGGTATATGGAATGGTAAGTCATCAATCAATCAATCAACAACAACAACAAAAAAAAAACCCAACTTCTTATTCATTTTGATTCGTTTATATTCCCTATTTTTACCCTCTTGATATACCATTGCTAGTCTATCGGTTTAAATCACAAACGGATCTTAGTTAGATCACCAATGAGAACGACTGTTCCATCTTAGTGTGGGACTTATCAGTAGTGTGCATTTATGACTCCTTATGAAAGGATCAAATCCATAACCTTTCATCTCGTGTGTGAACGCTTAACCTCAAAACCATGGAGTTGTCATCTAACGGTGTTAATGTTTTACTTCAGTCAGTTCATAATATTGCGCAATCCTTATCTGTTGTAGTGTCAGTTATTATGGCAAGCCCATATACCTTATTCTAACTTTCGGACATCCTATTTAATTCATTTTACTAGAGCCATATTTTGACCTTGTCAATTATTCGCTTGTCAGTCCTGATTGTTTTTGTATAAGCGTATATGTGTGTACACTTCAAGTCCCATGACTCATCACATGTCTGTCGTTTATTTTGTCTGCCTATAATTATTGAGTAATGCCTGGCTTGAAATGGAGTTGGCTTCCCAGCCATCTTCCATGCGTGTCATTTTTACTTGGCTTCATCTTGTGCTTGCTCACCGTATGCTTGTGGATCTTTATTAATCATTAACAATAAACTATCTCTATAACTGGTGTTCAGGCTTCTCAATAATTTCGAGTAAATCCGCGATTCTACTAGGAGATTAAGCCTACTTTGAATACTCAGTTTTACGGGATATTATTTATTGGAGTCAGATATTGAGGACATTCGCCTCAACATATTAGCAAGCCGCCGTTTCAATACTGTTCATTAAATTGAATAACTGTTTCATATCTAACACGAATTGGACTCCAGTAGTTGCGGATTCTCACTAGAACTCTAGAAGTTACATCCTGATGCGAAATCATGAATACACACGGTTGATAATTCTCAAACTAGAATGAAACAGCCGTCCAGTGTTTCCAGATTTCTAATGGTTTCCTAGCTAAGATCAGTTCGTATTTTAAACTGTGAAGTACTTATATGAGTACAAATAACAGAGAAAGTTACCTTTTGGATTTACAGGATTGATAAACAATAATATTATCCATATTCAATTGTGATAGATAGATGTTGCCTTGAAGTAACGGTTAAGATGACTAGTACACATAACATACCCGAGTTCGAGTGACTGAAAAACTTAGTTTTAAAGGTCTTACCATCTCATTATATCAAATGAGGAATTGTATGATTGATATCAAATAGTTTCACATTGTTGATAATTGACATAACAATATGCTGTGATTATCATGAAATGATATACCTTTTCACTTTAAGCAAATGACACATTCTACTTCTGTCATACGACTTTCTATTATGTATGATATGACTGATTGATGAATAAATGAAACATGTCAGCTATTATCCCATTGAAGAAGAAATCCCATATATGATCAAAGTATGTTAAATATTGGTTTGAATTATTTTTTTCTGGTTAGCGTTTTTTAGTAAGTTAGTTTTCTGCGGGATGAGATCGCTAATCTCATGCCCAACCCCCATTCTTTATTCGGGCTTGAAACTGGCAGTAGCCCCAGGGGGGCAGGTGGAGTTCTATAATTGAAGAACGTCTGGAACTCAAAACAACTACCAACCAACATCGAAGTCACAAGTTTCAATACAAATGTCAAAAGAGTTCTACTGTATGGGGCGGAAACTTGGAGAACTACGAAAGCCATCATCCAGAAGATAAAAGTATTTATTATCAGTTATCTACGCAAAATACTTTGGATCGGTTGGCCGGACACTATAAGCAACAACCTATTGTGAGAGAGAACAAACCAGATTCCAGTGGAGGAAGAAATCAGGAAGAAGTGCTGGAAGTGGATAGGACACACAGTGAGGAAATCACCTAACTGCGTCACAAGAAAAGTCCTCATTTGGAATCCTCAAGGTCAAAGGAGAAGAGGAAGACTGAGGAACTCATTACTCCGAGAAATGGAAACAGATATGAGAAGAATGAACAACAGTTGGATAGAAGTAGAAAAGAAGGCTCAGAACGGAGTGTGTTGGATAATGGTGGTTGTTGGCCTATGCTCGGTTGGGAGTAACAGACTTAAGTATGTAAGTAAGTAGACAAGTAAGTAAGTGGGTAGGTAAGTAAGTATGTTAAACATTCGTTGGTACTCACAGTTCAACACCATACAGGATTTGTATGCAACTTCTAATCATTTGATTCTCTTGTTTATTTCTAAATAACCTTAACTAAAGGAATTTAAGATTTTAGGGATCGATTGAGATCATAATTGGATCAATGTTAAACCACTATTGAAAATCTAGAAGCATTGGATGACCGTTTCGTCTCTAGTACGGAGCTCTTCAGAAGTGCGCATCCACTGTACATCATTCTGATATGATAGAATTTAGTAGTTTCATCTTATTTGTACTAACTAGAACAAAACAAAAGATGGAGATTTACAAGATTCGAATCATTTCTTGTGGTACTAACTCTGAAGTTTGTTGACTTCACTGTTGTTAAGTTTTGATAATTGAACGCTATATTCGGTTCCTAAGCTTTTCTCGTAACCCTCAAGCTAGAACTACACAGCAACCTGAACACTAGAGAAAAGGCGAAAAATTTGCGAGAAGCACTTTCCTCCAAAGGTTCGTTTTAGTACAGAAAATATGGGGATTTTATAGTATTTTAGATGTCCTTGGGTTTCCCGAAAATTCTGGAATGCTGCTAAACATAGTAGCAGTATAGTAATCATCCAATCAGAAACTCTACATATGACTTTTCACTTTCTTGATGTTTCTGGCTAAAATTTTAGTGAATGCTGATTAGCTAAAACGCTTCTTAGTTTTTTCTGAGCCTTTCTTGTCTTTTGCGAGAAGTTTTCTGGATCACCCCAACAATTGTATAAAGAGATAATATGTTCTTCGGTTTTACATTATAACAGTAATCTTGAGTGATTTATTAGACAATCAGAAAGTAATTTATAGATGGATTAACAGTTTCAACATGATCAATGGGCGAAAAATGGTAAAGATTAATAATTAAGAGTCCGGGTAATGTTAAAAGTTAAGCTTATAAATGTTAGAGGTTGTTACTGCGGTTAGTGTTTTCATAAAGAACTGACCGCTCGCGAATCAACCGAAAGTAAGGCACCTCGAAAGCAGCTGGACACCAAGGCTGCGCCGAAAAATGCTCCAGCTACCGGGAGCGTGAAGAAGCCACTTAGGTACAGACCTGGGGCCATCGCCCTCCAAGAAATCCGACGTTACCAGAAGAGTACCGAACTCCTGATTCGTAAATTTCCATTCCAGCGTTTGGTCCGAGAAATCGCCCAAAACTTCAAGATCGATCTACAATTCCAGAGCTCAACTATGTCTGCTCTTCGGTAAGCTAGTGAAGTGTACTTGGTTGGATTATTTGCGTATACGAACTTATGCACTGTCCATGCTAAGCGTGTCACTATTATGCCAAAGTATATCCAGTTGACCCGACGTATTTGTGGTGAACGAGCCTGACTGACTTCTGTTATAATCATAATATTATCTTAGGATTAAGCTAAACAGATGAGATTCAATACACCATTTATTATGTATCAAATCATATCAAATACTCTCAATTTGTACAACTTGTGCATTAAGAACAAGATGTAATGAATACAGTCAAAAACTTTAGTTCACAGCGTTTTTTTTCAACTTTTGGTGGAGTTTTGTTCTCTGAGCTGGATGGTTTGGTCGTTGTCAGAGAACAAAACTCCACCAAAATCATCCACCTGAGCTACAAATCTTCTCCACCATCTTTTTTCAACTTTGCATAGAGTTATCTTCAATCTAGTTGATTTCCTGAAAGTTTCCAATATCATCATATGATGTTACCATATACTTAATAAGATAATTCACGATAACTTAGTTTGTCATATACAAGTTATAAAAGTATTCAAATCAACAAACGCTTCATTGTCTATCATTGTGATAATGAACATTAGGATACATGTTTATCCAGGTAAACAAAATCTTAGGTAGAACATAACATACATCCTAATATCCAACTACTAGTTAGAATCTATCTATTCTATAAGAAGAACTTATCAGGTTTCTATAGCACTTTATTTGATGACTTTTCTTTGGACGAAAACCGATGCTTTCAACGTGATATGATCGTTGGTGAGTTTTCTTCGACTACTATTCAAGTCAAGGTTAGACAACTTTTATTGGTTTCCATTCATTTTACCGGTTAGGGTAAGACTTTATTGTATGTATAATAGTATTTACTTAATCCTATTGTGAATTGTATCATTCAAATGATTTCTATTCATTTTATTTCTAAGAATGGAATTCATGGAGTGATTGTCTACCTAATTGTGGTATAAAACGTTATCGTTCACGTTTACGTTTATGTCATGGAGATGTTGGTTGTATTGGATCCAATCAAGAAATTCAAAAATGTCCATCAAAGAAATGTATCACAATATCATTGAATAAATCTAATGATAAATCAATTCAAAAGAAAACAATTACATTAAATTATTATTTTATATGGTTTCTAGGATGTTTAATACCTATAGAGATAGTCATTATTATTTTAGGTGTGATTATATATGAACATTTACTACTTAAATCATCGTCATCATCATCATCATCATTGTCATCAGCATCGTCATTTTCGTCTCCACCTTCTTCTTCTTCGTCATCATCATCGACCTCATCGTGATCGCACACTTCATTGTTCAATCACTATAATTCACTTACTAATATCTTGTAATCTTCCATTCTTGTTGTTATAAGTAAAAGAGAAACATACACAAATGATTTATTAATGTTACAATACATATTAGCTCTTTGATAAGATGTCTTTAAAGCAAGTTTAAAACAAATTTGATGAGATAAATGATTAGAAACTAGATAACTAACGTTTATGCATTCATTAAAACAACTTGAAGATTTGCACAGAATTGTTGTGGCATGTACCGTGTGGAATCTGATACCGGTACACAGTGTGCTACGAGCTAACCTCTTCCCCCAACCTTTCAGCTGCCTACTTCAACAAGAACACAGGATTGAGTGAGAAATTGTATTAGACTACCGAACAAAATTTTAGATGGTGGTTGGAGGTAGTCAACACGAGATCGAATCCGCCAGAGAGCACCAGTTCCCTCAAGATTACAGGTACACCTTGCTGACGAGTGCCAAGTAGCACGAAACCCGGGTCCAGGGTTTCCTGTTGACTTACCATCTAAAATCTCAATACATAGTGCCCGCAGTGTCGAGTCACCTAGACTGGTGGCCACATTGCAACATGATCGATAGCATTCGATCTGCACTAATAAGGACTAGATAAACATGATATTGATCACCACCCAGTGATCAATCAATTGGAATTCAAGCATTATTCAGGTAAATTTAACAATTTCTTACTTATCAGTATAAGATTGTAATATTTTCAAAGTTGTTGAATTCATAAGTCGATCTTAGCTAGAACACCATTGAAAACCTGGAAGTATTGAACCACTATTTCTTCATAATGTAGGACCATCCAATGCTTTCAGGTTTTCAATGGTGATTTTGTGATGTATGCTACTGATATCGACAGATATAAGTAGTATGTATCACTAATCGAAAGTAAAATACCTAATGGAAGAAGATTGAGAAAATAGAAGAGAAGAGAACGAGAATACAGAATGATTAGTATGTAGACGAAGGAACAATGAAGTTTGAAACAAGTGATGAATATTTTTCAGATGAGGTATTTACTATATGGTTCTCATATTCTGTAATTTTATACTTAAATACATTTAGATTGTTCTCATTTATGTTCTCGTTTACTACAGTCTAGCTTAGATTGACCCGTGAATTGAACTTTGGAAATCTGTTTCTTTTTAGTGGGTACGAATATGCATTAAAGAATAGTGTTGAAGTGTTAGCATAGAATCTTTTAAATAGTCTTAATCTAACAACCAAATAATAAGCGAAATCGATATATTGAACTAATTGCCCTCAAATGCTCTGGTACGGCCGAGGGTAGAGAGAGTCCACTCTCCCTCTCCAAATGCTCACATATGGCCACGTGAATACAGCCACTACCTGAGAAGTGTTTGGACACTTCAAGCATTAAAATAAGCTTGTTTAGTGATTGAGAATATGGAAACTTCGTCGACACTACGGAGTTCCTGAGAAGATTGTCAATATTATCCAAAACTCATACGACGGACTACAGTGCAAAGTCGTGCATGGAGGACAGCTGACAGATGCATTCCAAGTTAGGACCGGAGTCAGACATGGCTGTTTACTCTCTCTCTTCCTCTTTCTTCTGGTGGTCGACTGAATTATGAGGACCTCGACATCTGAAGAAAAACACAGAATACAATGAACAGCTCAAAATCAATTAGACGATTTGGACTTCGCAGATGACCTAGCCCTCCTATCACGTACACATGAACAGATGCAGATGAAGACAGTCAGTGTAGCAGCAGTCTCTGCATCATTAGGCCTCAGCATACACAAAGGAAAAACCAAGGTTCTCAAATTCATGGCGGAGAACAGCAATCCAATCACTCTTGATGGCGAAACTCTGGAAGATGTAGAATCCTTGACATATCTGGGAAGCACCATCGATGAACAAGGAGGTTCAGATGCAGACGTAAAGGCAAGGATTGGCAAAGCAGGGTCGCATTTCTACAATTGAAGAACATATGGAATTCAAAACAACTGTCTATCAACCAATATCAAAGTCACAATCTTCAATACCAACATCAAGACAGTTCTACCGTAAGGTACTGAGACTTCGAGAACTAATACCACAACCATCATCAATACGGTACAAGTATTTATAAATAGTTGCCTACACAAGATACTCAACATCCATTGGACGAATACCATTAATAATAGGCTACTGTGGGAGAGGACAAACCAGCTTCCAGTTGAAGAGGAAATTAGGAAAAGACGATGGAAGTGGATAGGACATAGATTAATCAAATCATCAAACTGCATCACGAGGCAATCCCAAACCTAGAATCCTGAATGGAAGCGAAAAAGAAGAAGGCCAGAGAACAAATTACATTGGGAGATAGAATCAGATATGTAATGGATGAATAACGACTGGAAAGAAATGCCCAGGACAGGGTTGGATGGAGAATGCTGGTGAGTGGCCTATGTTCCTTCACGAGGAGTAACAGGCGTAAGTAAGTAATGATGGAGAAGTCAAAGGAGAATGAAAATAATTTACAGATTAGAAAAAGAAGCGATAATTGTTCACTTGACATAAATAAAAAGATGATAAGAGTGTAAACATCATAACAACAATTGAGAAATAAAGGATAATTGATTACAGAATGAAAGCATAGAATAAAAGGCAAGTTGAAAAGGGTGCTAGGAACAAAGAAGGATTATAGATTACATACGTTACTTTAACATACAGAGTTCAGGCTTGAATTGGTGAACTGATGACATGTAAATAGTGTACTAGTCCTTGATGTAACCTCCCTTCGATCATTTAGATTATTTTGAAGAATGATTATTGTGCAACAACCTTTTCGGAGTTGATGAGATACTCTCATATTGATATATCGATTACTTCTAGTTCTATAAAATTATAAATAATACTGTTGTAATCGAAGACTTTGGCGGTAATGACCAATTTATTGTTTATCGCAAAATTACAGTGTGTTTACGTAAAATATGAAAGGCATACATTAGATACATCAATTGCACATCTTCCATCAGCTGTATCTTACATACTTTATCGTTCTTTCATTTCTATACTCTTTAATTCGATCTTCTCAACCTTCTGCTGCAAGGCATCCCACTACAGATTGATGTTAGATACTACTTATATCTGTCAACTTAAGTAGCACACACTACAATACTACAGAAGAGGACATTTTCTTCACTGAATTAGCTATATATATATATATATATATATATATATATATATATATATATATATATATATATATATATATAACATGAGCATATAGATACATTTCAATTTGTTTAACTAATGACAGCTTCCTTCCTACATTTCCCCTCTTGTCATTTAAGTAACCAGTAGTGTTCAAGTGTAAGAAAAAAGTATGCTTATCAATATTATGGAAAGATATCTCATATTTCAACAGAAATCTTGAAATTAAAACACAAGATTTGTCTATACAACAATACTATTATGCAATCTACAACGTCAAATACAGAAAAAACAAACACTAGGAACTTCGAATTACATAATGTTCACAATTAAACTACATTCTTAGATGATACGTTGGAAGAAAGTGTATTGTTTAAACAAGTAGATGAGTTTTATTTATTTATTTAAACATATAAACATTAGTACAAGGAGGCATCAAATAGATAATCGCCATATAAATCATTCGATGTGTGTGAGGAATAGGACACTGGTCGGGTGCCTAAACAAAAGCAGGTGGTTTTATTAGGGAGCAACACCCAGGGCCTTTGATCTAAAGGTTTGATCCACATCAGGAAATGAGGTCTCATGGTAGCCTGTGACAAATAATTGGTTCATACGCCATTTGCTCCTTCAGGATCCTGGAGTCCATGTGCACTAATGATTTTAAATCAGGGTTTTCCAACCCCTAGATGGATCTTCCGTGTCCACCTACCCGGTCAAAGCGTCGGACATTCGCTTTTCATCCTCTCAACTTTATAAATAACACCCGTGGTGCGAGAAGCTAGTGAGTAGGACTTCCCTGGTGGTGGTTGTATGCAAGTGGCCACTTCAGAGCATTTGAAAAGGGAGAGCTAACCTCCCCATTCTCAGCTGTATCAGGGCATTTGGGGGCCATTAGATGAGCATTGTATTGTAGTAACACATACTATAAAAATCAGAAGATATCATACACTGTGAACAAAGTTACTAATGCTCAACTAGATTCAACTAAGCCCTAGATGCCTTTAACAAGCTAATGAGAATAAACCAAGTTTTATTGAATGACATACATGATAATGGTTAAATAAAAATATGCATTAACGACAAATGTTATTGAAAATAGGGAAATTAATTTGAATTTCATGCAAATAAATGGGATAGTGATGTGAACTACTTATGTCTACATAAGTAGTATATAACGATAATGAAGGGAAGAACACGAACGGAAAGAAACAATTAATGAACATGTTGCAAATGAAGTATTTACTATATGGTCCATAGATTTTAGTGAGATGTTCTGTAATTTTGTATTCAAATATATTCGATTGTCCCCACTGGTGTTCTCGTTCAATACAGGATTAGTCATTGTACATTAAACAAGTTCTGATATGATAAGGTATAAAATAAACTACACATCTAGCTCAGATATGTAGATGACACATTTGTCATTATTAGAAATACTCTTCTTAGAAATATCTCTGTTATGACATGTGACTGTAGATTAGAGTGATGCGTTTTATCGATCGATTACAGTGACACGTAAACACGTACGGACGGCCTAGTGTCTCGATTGGTCCCACTTCCCTGTCTAGCCCAGGCAGTTGAGTCCAGAATGCAAGTCACAGCCTCTGAGATATGAATCATTATATTTTAAACATACTCTGTTTATATACTAATCAAGCAGACCACATCGTACCATAAAAATAGAAAATAACATTTACACAATATTAAACAAGTGAAGTCAATATCGACCAATAGGAAATGTCCATTTAACGTCCAAGGACACCATCAGACTTAACACGATAATTATTGGTATATTCCTCCGCATCCATAACAGTCTTCAAACAGATAAACACGCTTTTAGAACACATCAAATTCACTTTTGAAAAGAAAGATAAACATAATGAACCATCTTAATTAGACTGTTTAGTCAAAAGGAATCCTAATAAAAGTCTAGATCTAGACATTCAAATGCCGACCATTGTTGC